TCGGAGCACGTGATATATTATAAGGAGTAACGATATGTTTTATGAAATTTAGTGAAGTAAAAAGTACGATCTTATGCTTTGGAATGTAGTGAAGTAAAAGTAAAAGATACTCAAAATAAAACTACTCCAGTAAAGTACAGATACTTGAAAAATGTACTTAAGTACAGTAACGAAGTAAAACTACTTCGTTACAGTCCACCACTGCCCAGAACCATAGCGGGTTCTGGGGTTGCAGCAGCAGCGGGCCACACATACATAAAACATAAAAAGCCTTAAGATAAATACTTATGGACTTATGAAAATTTTGAGCTGCAAATGAAAACGTTTGAAATATAGCCTACATACCACACGACTATCTTTTCAAAACATACATTTGGTGCAAACTTTACAGTAGTAACAATAAGTATGTACAACAGTACTGTTGTGGCGGAAGCTATGGATACCATGTCAAATATTTGTCAGGGCAGCAATGAAACATATAAATGAATGTTTTGTGTTTTTTAATAACCGGAGCAGGTAAAGATGTCACTGTCCCTTTAAGAGACGCGGGCTGACTGAGTGCATATGCAGCGGCTCCCCGTTATCCCCATTGCTACACTGAGACACAGACGCACAAGATCCGCCGGGATTCCTCCTGATATTCAGCATCACTCGTGCGGTCGGAATGGAGATGCTGAATAATCGACTAAAATAAGGAAAAGTCCTCGCAGAGATCAAGATGGTGTCGTGGATCATTTCGCGGATGGTGGTGTGAGTGTCTATGCGGCGCGCGCGCGTGTGTTTGTGTTGCTGCGGATACATGACGCTTTTCAATGGAATTAGAAAATATTCTGCTTATTTTTTCATTGAAAACCTTTAATATTAACATTTAAATTTATTCGGCTACTCCTATAAGTTACATAAAGGATTAAATTAATAAAGCAAAGCGATGACTATATCCAGACGAGGGTTGCTTGTTGTGTGCATGATTTTCACCTAGACCAAAATGCCCTGTGGAGGATATTATGCCTTAATGTACCAAACACTTAAATAGAGAATGGAATTGTTTGGCTTAAAAACATATTGGTTTTTAACATGCCAGCTGTTGTGTATATTACACCAATCACATCATCTCCTCTATATGCTTATGTCATCATACTTTCAAATGTCCATGTTTAAATCACAAACTGTTATCAGAGACTTCTGAGATGGGTTGATGAGGGTTTTTTATGAAATAAGGCCTACCTGCTTAGCTGATTTGTTCCTGCTGGTAATGTTACGCAATGTAAAGGAGGCCAGTCTGGTCCATATGACACACACATTTGGGTCTCATATGACTTTGATTCGCATTGGATCACGAGTCTTCCTGATTCATCGATTACATCAAACACTCAGGCCTTGCTCCACAATGTGTGTGCAGGTTATATTATTACAAAAACTGCTTGGGCACAAATGGGAGAGGTTGAATTCGTTGTTATGACTGTGTTGGTCTGATCTAGGCCGTTAGAAACTAACATCAGGTATCATTATCGTGGGTTTGCTGAATCTCATGGAATGCTCTTTGCTGTGGCTTTAACTGTGGCGAGCAGATGCATTATGGGCATGGCCAGACTTTACCATTGGGCATTTGTAGTGTAGGTATAGGGTAGGGTGACCATACGTGCCATTTTCCCAGGACGCGTCCTGGCCAGGATTTCTATATTGCCTAAAATATCTAGGTTTTGGCTTTGTTTGCGTGTGCAGACCGATCGGTGTATGACATCAAAGTACCTCGAGAGCATTTTGAAAGCATAAGGAACCGTCTGTATGGTATTTTGATGTCATACACCGATCGGTCTGCACACGCAAACAAAGCCAAAACCTAGATATTTTAGGCAATATAGAAATCCTGGCCAGGGCGCGTCCTGGGAAAATGGCACGTATGGTCACCCTAGTATAGGGCCCAAACATAACCTCAAGCCCAGGGGCCCCCGCCCCCCTAAGTCCTGCCCTGATTATGGGAGTCAGGCTAGCGAATGGGACAGAGAGGGCATGTGGTCTGCCATGCGCCAGACTGCCTCACTGTCCTCATGCTTCATTACGCATTACCCACAGTGCACAGTCTATATGAACATATGCATTTATAGAGTAGAATGCATCATATTAACTATAAGTATAACCATGTTTTAAAGGCAAGATGCCCCATAAGGGAGTAAAAAATTTAACTCTTAAATATGACTATATTCCCCAGTTAATTAATTAATTAATTAAAGTTTTCTGAAATGGCAAGTTTGTATATGCAAGTGAGGCATCTATCTAACTAAATATGCACTGATTTGCATACATTTCCAGAACAGAAATCTGAAAGCCGGGTTCAAAATGATTGTTTCATTTTGTTGAAACATTAGAGTCAAAGATTTTTGCAGAGGGCATTTTGGATCTAATTTCAGCACTCCATAAATCAGCCAGAAAAATTCACCATGTTTTAGGAATAAAATGTTGTATAAAATCAGGCAAATGGTAGGCTATATAAACAACCCCTATTTATTTGTGTGATATACTTTGTCATCTAAAGTATAAGTATGTTTATTTAACACAATTATTTTTTTATTCCATTTTCAAATGATTTAAAATGTCTTAAATATCAATTAAAATAAATAAAATTATATCGGCCATCGGCCACCCTGCTTTCCAAGATATCGGCATCGGCTGTCAAAAAACCCATATCGGTCGACCTCTAATCCTGACATCCTCTGCTGGATCTGCCATTGCAGAACGTTCAGCTTTTGTCACATCAGCACAAAACGGCATGTTTGTGTGTGTGGGAGCGCGAGTGAACGAGAGCACGTGTCTGAGTGCATGCTGCACATGCAGGGCATCTGTGTCTAATCTGGTCCCTTTGTGTGTTCATCCGTCTCCATGCTCCGACTCCCTTTCATATATGCTTCACATTTAATGGCTCTCAGATTCGGGGTGTTTGCTTTCAGTAACGTCATCAAGCATGATTGTGTGTGCACAGTAGGGCTAGTGTGTTGACTGGGATAAGTTTTATGGGTTTGCGTTTCAATGAAGTACAGGTCTGACTATTTTGATCAGCCACTAGTATATTGGATGTGTGATTCATAAACTGATTTATTTTTTTTCTGGTTGGATTTGAATGAACCGGAGATATCTATCCTACCTTTAACACTTAAATAGGCAGCCTCTTAAGTGTCGTAATTGTGTTCTTTACCTTGAGGTAATGGTGCAAGTGAAATTGTAGATGCTGAAGTGAGCTGGTGTAATGGTAAGATGAGCTTGTCAGTGTCTTCCGGGCTGTGTGTTTAATAGGAGTCTTTTCTCTCTGCAGCCTGGCCTTCGGGACCCTCTATCCAGCCTATTCATCTTATAAGGCTGTGAAGACGAAAAACGTCAAGGAGTATGTGAGTATTTCAGAATGGCTTCAATTTAACACAATCTGTATTGTATAAAGCGCTATAATAATATATATATTGGGGCTGTCAAATCACCTTTATTTATAGCGCTTTATACAATAGAGATTGTGTCAAAGCAGCTTTACAGTATTAAACAGGAAAATAGTGTGTCGATAATGCAAGAGGACAATAGTAAACACTCAATTTTTCAGTTAAAGTCAGTTCATTGATGATTCAGTGATGTCATCGTCCAGCTCAGTTTAGTTCAAACAGTGTCTGTGCAATCAAGTCCGCAATATTGCCAGAAATTAAGCGTCCACAACTAAGCAAGCCAAAGGTGACAATGGCTAGGAACCAAAACTCCATCGGTGACGGAAATGGAGGAAAAAATCTTGGGAGAACCCAGGCTCCTCTGGCCAGACGAAACCAGCATGGCGTGGTTTAATTCCAGGCTGCAGCACAAGTCAGATTGAGCAGAGGACTCGTCTAGTTCTCAAGTGATAATCAAATTAACCAAATTAATGGTGCATCAAATTTAGCTGTGAAATTACCCTAAAAGTTCATTTAAAGCCATTGTGTTAAATGAGAAATACATCGAAAAGTAACTTTAGAAAAAAAATATTTAATTTGATTCAATAGCTGCATTGAAGCTGCATCTGAATTGGTACTCTGAATTTACACTGCAATTACAACTGCATAAATAATACCATGAGATTAATGGGTTTTAAATGGGTTTTAAAGGGATAGTTCACCCAAACTTGAAAATTCTGTCATCATTTACTCACCCTTGTGTCCTTTCTTTCTTCTGTGGAACATAAAAAACTTTTTTTTTTTCATACAATGGAGGTCGATGGTAAACAAAACAGTTTGGTTACCAACATTCTTCAAAATATCTTTTTATGTTCTGAAAAAAAAACAAAGCCATACAGGTTTGAAACAACATGAATGTAGTAAATGATGCCAGAATTTTCATTTCTAGGTGAACTATCCCTTTAATGTTTTTTTTTAAATATGGAAATATGAAATTATTATTATTATTTTTTTTTTAAATGAAAATTTTCTCTAAATAAGAAACTAAAACTGATGGTATGGTGGCGGTTAATGTTTTAACGAGTAAGTCATTCATTCGATTTGACATTCAGTAATAACTTAAATGGCTTTCTTTATTAATGGTTCATTGAATCATTCGTTCACCCGATTTGTTCAAAACGAGGATTCATTCAGAAATGAATCACTGCTGTGTGTTGCTCGGAGACGCACAACAGTTCTCTTTTGAAAAAACAACATTTTTGTGCCTCAGTTTATACCCTATTCATGGAAAGTGCCAAAATTATATATGTTTTAAAAGAGATAATATGCTCCCCAAATAGCCTAGGAAAGGCCTCGTTTTATTCCCTAAGATTCTAGGAATATATTTTTTTTAATGTGTACATATATCTTTTAATTTTTTGAAACCATATTTATCTCGGAGTCTCAGGTTACTGGTTGCTATGGAAACCACCAGGGCAGCAGCTTGCTGGCTTAGACACCATTTTTAGCATCTCTCTCATCTGTATTACAAATAGCACCACCTTCCATTATTTTAGAAATGTTTAGTTAAAAACACTTTAGACATTTAATAACCTTTTTGGAGCTGAATTTATAAATGTACATGCAGTTTTAGATGACCATAGTTATGTGTCATTTGATAATTACTCAGTTGGATATTATTGGCAGTAAAGATGGAGATATAACTGGTAATGCAGTGCAGTGGTGACTGTTTATTCATGAGGCAGTCATGCATAACACACAAAGCTATATTCAGAAAGAACATTCAGAAGAGTCATGTACACACGAGCTTGATTCTAACATCTGTGTGTGTTTCCATCCTCAGGTGAAATGGATGATGTACTGGATAGTGTTTGCGTTATTTACGACAGCAGAGACGATCACAGATATGCTTCTCTCTTGGTCAGTCAGTTAATACTGTTAAACTATTTCAGAAATATTTATCACATTATATATACATTTGATTTTTCACAAATTGAGCATCATTCTGAAGGTAATTTACGACTTTTTAAAAAATAAGCTAAACAAATTTTTAAAAGTGATAATTTATGGTGATTTAATATAGCTTTTATTGTATTAATTGTTAAATGTTGACCTCCCATTTTCCAGGTTTCCATTTTATTTTGAGCTGAAGATTGCCTTTGTGATCTGGCTGTTGTCCCCGTACACCAAGGGCTCCAGTGTGCTGTACCGCAAGTTTGTGCACCCCACGCTTTCCAATAAAGAAAGGGTACAAATACAACTTGCATCATTAAATATAATCAAACTATTGTTAAAGATGAGTCTTTAAATTTTTTAATGTATGTGTGTGTGTTACAGGAAATTGATGAGTACATAACCCAGGCTAAAGACCGCAGTTATGAGACCATGATGCGGTTTGGGAAGAGAGGACTCAACATTGCAGCCACTGCAGCAGTCACAGCAGCCTCAAAGGTCAAATCACTGTGTTTTAGATGAAGTGTGCATTTGTGGGTCAGGGCTCAATGGAGTCGGGTGGTCCTGGGGCCAGTGTGAGAGTGACAGTGTTTTGTGTTTTTTTTTCTTTAAAAAATAATAATTTTTTTATATTATTTAATTAACTGTAAATACAGTAATATTGTGAAATATTATTACAGTGTAGAACTGTTTTCTGTTTGAATATATCGTAAAAATTTAATTAATTCCTGTGATGCAAAGCTACATTTTCAGCATCAGTACTCCAGTTTTCAGTGTCACACGATCCTTTTTCTTATTTTTATTATCAGTGTTGAAAACAGTTGTGCAGCTTAATATTTTTATGGAAACAGAGATACATTTTTTTCAGGATTATTTGATGAATAGCAAGTTCAAAAGAATAGCATTTATTTAAAATTCAAATTGTTTGTAACATTTTAAATATTTTTACTGATACCTTTGATCAACTTAATGTGTCCTTATTTAATAAAAGTATCAATTTATTTTTTTTTTAAGTAAAAAAAAAAAAACGTACTGACCACATATTTTGAACAGCAGTGAGTGATTTCCTAGGTGCTATTGTAAAGAGCAGTGTGTTTTTTTTTTTGCATATTTTTTTTTGCATAAGTTAAGAAATAAACTTATCATATTTTGCATAGTGTAGGGCAGGGTCACTGTTCAATACACATTTGTCTTTTATTCAAACTGGGTTCAGCAAAGAACTTTATTGTCATATGTACAAGTACAGTATAATTGTTTAGTGCCTTGAATAAGATAATGCAGTTGTAATATTTGAGTCTTTTGTGTTATTGAGCTGCAGGGTCAGGGTGTGTTATCAGAGAAGCTGCGCAGTTTCAGCATGCAGGATCTGACTCTGATTCAGAACGAAGACGAGCTGCAGCTGGACAGCACAGACGACACACACACTGCAGCCACGCTACCTCGGGCTAAAACAGTCACACGCACAGGTAACACACTCACGGCTATGGTCCTAACAGAATCTAACTTTATAGGCCGCGTTCACATAATGAGTGTTTGGTTTTAACAACCCTATTTACTAACAGGTGTGACTCCCTAAATCTAATCCTGTACATACAATTGCAGACAAGTACGGATTGAAAAATGTTGGTATGTAACCAAAGTAAATCTGCTTCTTTAATGCCTGTAACCATAGTGACACACAACTCCAGTAAATATCGCTTTGAGCTCATATTTATAATAGTCTGTCCTGTTTAAACACACACAAGCAGGTCAGTGAGGTGTTTGTGTGTTTGCTGACTCATTGAAAGCCGCTCTGCAGGCGGCCATTGTCTCAGCCTGTTTCTAATGCTGATGCTGATGTGACCAGCATGTGATTCAGCTGCCTACTTGCTGAGAGAGAGGAGGGGTCGATCTGCTGGGGTTTGTTCATACGCAACTGCACACTGCTTTCCATTTGTTGGATGAGTTTCAGCGCTCATTCAAGCGGTTCAGGACTGTGCGGAGTTTGGCCTCTTCAAATACTGTGACGTCACGAGACTCGCAAGTCGCTGAAGGTCATGACCCCCAGTAAGCCTTTACAGCAAACACAAAGAAAGTCTGTGGGAGGATCATTCAGAGTTCCACAGAGATGATGATTTCAATAATGAGACATGTAGTGATTTTATTAGCCCACAGAGCTCCTTCGTTGAATTACAGAGCGTCAAAGATACATTGTGAATGGACAAGCAAAAGGCTCTTCTAAAGAAGTCTTTGTGTTTCAGGCTTTGAATGAGGTTTGGCAAGCTTTAAATGCCAGATAGAGTCTGTTCAGAGAGCCAGTGATCACACCGCAAGACAGATTTTGTGCTTGTATTACAAAGAAAGTCTGTGGGAGGATCATTCAGAGTTCCACAGAGATGATGATTTCAATAATGAGACATGTAGTGATTTTATTAGCCCACAGAGCTCCTTCGTTGAATTACAGAGCATCAAAGATACATTGTGAATGGACAAGCAAAAGGCTCTTCTAAAGAAGTCTTTGTGTTTCAGGCTTTGAATGAGGTTTGGCAAGCTTTAAATGCCAGATAGAGTCTGTTCAGAGAGCCAGTGATCACACAGCAAGACAAATTTTGTGCTTGTATTTGATTTGGTTGATTAGTTCATTCACGTGACCTCTTAATGTGGTTCGGATCAGACACTGGTCTAAATAGGCCAAGGTCTAAACAGGCATTTTTTAACATATAACATATTTGATGATATTGATTTTTTTTTTTGTAGTGCTGTTAATCAATTAAAATTTTTTTTTACATAAATCACACATTTTTCTGTAATTATACCAAACCTAACATTTTTTATTATTTTATTTTATTTTTAAAAATTTAATCGGCCTGTTACAGAACACAAAACATTTTCTAACTTCAAATTTAAGTGAATCTAAAACAACCTTCACTTAAAACCATTATAATAAATGATACATTTAGCTGTGTCTTTAATATAGTGCGCTGTATATCGTGTATAGTAATATAGTGATGTTTCTGTCAATATCAACTCAACTCTATTTGAATTATTTTTTTCCTGCTAAGTTTATTTTGCACATTAATTTTGACAATAAATAAGAAAATTACATCAGAGATTGTGAGCGGCATGCAGATAGCCTGATCATGTTCTATAACACCAGGCAAAGGATTTGGGGAAAAATATGTTAGTATAGCTTTTTCAGGAAGGGAAAAAATAGATGCTGCATTAGTTAATTAACATAACAATTTTGACAGTCCTGATATTCTGTTTTTTTTTTGTCTTCTAAATTTTTTAAACTATACATTTTAAAAGGTATATGCAATTTATTTTCACATATAAAAGTGGACAAGGTCTAAATTCAAAAATCCGACTTGAGCGACTTTCAGCTGTGGTGTGAATGTAGCCTGAGAGACCTACTCAAAATCTGTCTCTTCAAATAATTGATCTCAGACTAAAAAATAGCAACGTGTCACATTCATGGCAGCTGCTCATCTAGAGGAAAAAAATCCAGTACAGCGCATGCTGCGGAATAGAAAGAAATATGTTTTCTAAACTGTGTCCATCTTTATTATTTTCTTCAGTTCGTGCCGCAGCCATACCGGCTGACACTGAATCACAGCACAGCTCTCGCTCTGAGGACCAGTCCGAAAGCAGGACGGATCATTCAGATGAAGATGCAGCAGATAAGGCCCCCAAACGCACTGCAAGCGTCAAAGCAGCCAAGAAACCAGTCGCTGCCAAGGCAGAGGTACACAATTTATGTATTTATTTATTTATTGACTCATAGACACACAGTCTAAATAGGCAAGAAACATGTATTCAGACTTTCAAGTATACAGTATTAAAATGTGTTATAAAACAGGCAAGGGTGAATGTATATAGACACAAATATCTTGATTTGTCCTTCTGTTTTCACTCAGAACAAACTGTATTATTTAAAACATATGGTTTTGTTGTGACATTTGTCGGTTGTGTCTGGAAGATTCAGTGTTTAGGAAAGCAGAAATGTTTATAACAACTACTAGAACATCATCGATTATTTGCATTATTTGTATGTTTGTTTGTATGCATGTTTTTTTTTTCCTTCCATTGAACACAAAAGACATGTTTAGCAGAATGTTCATGCTGCTCTTTGTCTATTAAATTCTATGATAAACACCATTAAAGTGGCCTATGCATCTGCTGAAATGAGACTGAGTAAAATATAGCCTAGATGTTTTATTTGCTATACCCACAATTCAGACCTTATTTTGTCACTGATAGTTTATAATATGTGTCTACCAATCTTAATGCAAGCAAATCAAGAACTCTCTGAAGATTTATTTAAAATACAGTGCATTCAGAAAGCATTCAGACCCCTTCTTTTTTTTGTTTGTTGCAGCCTTGTGCCAAAATGCTTTAAATTATTATTATTATTATTATTTTTTACATCAGTCTACAGTCGACATCCCATAATGACAAATCAAAAATCAGATTTGTGATAGTGGTGTTCAATTCCAGGTTTTTCAGGGTCGACTCTGACTCCCGACTCTCACTGTAGGAATCTATCCATTTACTTTATATCACAACAGGATCAAGAATAATACAAGATTGCAGTCGTTTTTTACACACTTAATTAATGACCTTTTTTTCTCCCTGACACGATTCCTTAAATTCCCCTTATTAAAACAACACATTTTCAGCGCGACTGTTCAAATTAGTCCAACTTAGTGATTTTTACCTTGAAATCATTATCAATGTCGTTACCTAGCTGTTGCTAATACCTATTTTTATAGAGGGAATAGTCATGAGAAACAGCAGTGGTCAGAATTAAAGAAGAAAGAAAGTATTCTTTAATGAATTCATAACGGTCGAGTGATGGCTCTAAACACATATGCCCATTGTTTTAAAAAGCTGCTTAGTAGCGATAAAGATATTAAAAATAAATACTTTTTTTTTTTTTTTAAAAGATCATTTAATTATTATGAATACAAATGTGACCCTAGACCACAAAAGCAGTCTTAAGTCGCTGGGGTATATTTGTAGCAATAGCCAAAAATACATTGTATGGGTCAAAATTATCGATTTTTCTTTTATGCCAAAAATCATTAGGATATTATGTAAAGATCATGTTCCATGAAGATATGTTGTAAGTTTCCTACTGTAAATATATCAAAACTTAATTTTTGATTAGTAATATGCATTGCTAACAACTTAATTTGAACAACTTTAAAGGCGGTTTTCTCAGTATTTTGATTTTCTTGCACCCTCAGATTCCAGATTTTCAAATAGTTGTATCTTGGCCAAATATTGTACTATCCTAACAAACCATACACCAATGAAACGCTTATTTATTCAGCTTTCAGATGACGTATACATCTAAAAAATTGACCCTTATGTGGTCCAGGGTCACAAATAGGTTAACCATGGAAAACCAAATGTATGTTTATTGCATTAATATAACTACAGCTACAAAGCTGGCACGGACGTATGCATAATTACAAAATAAAGTCACTATGACTGTTGTTTTAGTAAGTTGCATGCAGGATACAATATGTGACCAAGTTGTTTCTGCGACGGCTCCATCTCTCTGACGCATGGTGTAAATACATCAGTGTCCGAATTCCTCGCTTCATTTCATTCACTCCTTGCTCAACTGCCATGCACTATATAGGGATTAGAGAAACAGCGAGCCGTTTCGGACACAACAACAGAGTCGACAGTGAGAGTCGATTCCTGTGCTGGAGTCGACTACGAAACTAGGGCTATTCAGAGTCGAGGAATCAACTCTTTTGGAGACGACTCCCCATCACTAATTTGTGGTAAGCTTAGCTCGGGTGCATTCCATTTCTCTAGATCTTTGAGATCAAATTAAATTAATTGGAAATGATTTGGAAAGGCACAAACCTGCCTAGAGACAGCTCAAAGACAGGAGGACTGTGTTGAGGCACAGATCTGAGGACGGCTACAAAAAATTCTGGTAATTTTCCATGTGAGATCCAGTCATGTGTCATGTGATTTGGAATTTTGCATGAGGATGAAAGAATTCCACACGCCGATTTTTGCATCGAGTTCAAATTGGTCATTCGCTAGAATCGCTACATCAACCAAAAGAGAGCTACTTGGTTTGAAAGTGACTTCTGTGCGAGCAGTGCTTCATACAGTACATCGCTACACTATGGACTGGGAAATTTTGCAGCAATTTTGCTAATCTTAATGCTGCAACATAACAAAACGAAGGGCTCTGAATATTTTCTGAATGCTCTTAAGTCTGTTACATCAGCCCGCTTGTATGTAAACCAGAACGAGATATTCCTGTTTATTTTCTGTATACACATTTTTTCCAAGCCTTTGAGTGTGCGCTGTCGTGAGCACATGCCTTCACTGAATTGCGTTCACCCAGTTGCTCGATAAGGTCTTGTTATAACCGTAAAAGGTATTAATACTCTTTTCTTTCGTTCTTCTTTACCACCATATCCTGCTGTCCTCGCCAGCAGACCACCAAGACAGTGAAGAAACCGCCAAAGAAGAAAGCCACTACCACGGCCAACAACAATGTTGAATCACCATGAGTCACGCTGCGTTTATCCATCCCTGGACAACACACACACGCACATTCACATGCTTTCCCATACTAACATTAGTGCTCTTTGCTTTTATAGAAACATACTGACCCTTGCAAATACACACATGCACATAAGATGCATCGCCTGGGGCTGTTTTTATCTAGTAGGTTTAATGCGGTGAGTAAGTTAAGACATCTGGCTTCATGCATTCATTTTTTGTGTTGTGCATGTGTTTCAAGGAAGGCTGTGTCTTGTCTTATTCTCTGTAGGCCTTAATATTAGAGGGCATCTCTGTAAAGCATGAGATCAGAAAGCAGTGCCTGCACATGATCATACATCATCACTACTGAACCCACAGTATATCCCTTATAACCACAGATTTCATGCTTGTTTTCCATAATATAGGCCATTTCACTTTATTTAGCATGTAGGACACACACTATGGGACGAACAAGAAATGGGAACAGAAAAATGGGGCTATTAAATGAATAGACTTGATTTACAGCACAGCGTCCATAGAGAGTTCTGGAGGCGCCCAGAGCAGTTCTGTTCTCGTTCTGGGTCACAGAACATCCCGAGCCCGAGATTTGTTGTGAATATTCATGATCGGAGAGGTCAGATGTCTACTGGAAGCTGCAGGCACTCAAACGCTCTCGCCGTTAATAGTGCTTTTGTCAGCTGGAGCTGGAGGCGTTCAGAGCACATGAGCTGTCCCTTGTGCTAATTTTACATTCGTGTAGCGCGATGTTACACATTTTGAACACTTATAAGACATTTATCCAAGTGGTAGATGAGATAGCAGGTGTCATCTGGTGTTTTGGTAGGGCGCAAATGAAAACAGAATCACATGTTGGCCAGTAAAGGACAAGATGCCTCTGTCTTGAGTAGTCGGTTTCTGAAGACTGATGATTTTAAGTCTGCTGTTTCAGTTCTGGGCTTTCTGTTGTTGTGACTTGCTTATCAAACTCAAATATTCCATATCAGTTTGTAATAAAAGTACTAAACGCACTCAGTTTGCGCGGTGCAACGCAAAGCATAGAGAGTTGGCAGATCATTCATTGTGGTGAAACGGTCAACCCTCGTTGTTAAAAATCATCTTAAAAGGTGCTTTTAGAATATATGCTGGCTTTAAACCCTCTGGTCCTTTTTTAAAAGTCATCTATACAACTTTTTAAATTAGATCCTGTGCACCAAGGTCATTTGAAACTGCATGTAGCCCTAAATCCAGATGTGTGCAGTTGTGTTTCCCGGTACAGCTGTTCTGAATCGAAAGATTTGGCGTTTGGTACTGATCTGGACTTCAACTCAGTGCTGCCAGATTGGAAATGTCCAAGTATCGTACCAAAAGTTCAAAATAATCGTATTTGGAAGAAAAGTATCGTACAATTATTGATCGTACATCGTACAGAGGTCAAAATTATGGTACAAATAAATACGATAATTATCGTACGTCTGGCAACACTGCTTCAACTGCAGTTTGAAGTATGCAATACTACTGCGAGCTGGTAGGGGGCGCTGCTGTACAGGAAAAGAGCACAGTGCTCTTCCTGTCAGATTGAATGATTACACACGGGTGGAGAGTGCTTTTGAATTATAATGTATTTAAATCAGTTTGTCAAATAGCTGAAATTTACCTGAAACGTTCATTTGTATAATATTATTGACTGTACAAAATATCTGCCTTACTCTGATAGGCTTTTTAAGTTGAACATTTTTCTTTTTTGAAGTTTACATTTAGTTTGTCACTTTAGTATAGGGTAAGATGTACAGAAACATGTTTTTTTTTGTAAAAAGTGCTGTTTTGTGCATATTTGTGTGGCGTTTTAATTTACAAGGTTGTGTCTTCTCTGCCTTTTTTTGTATAGGAGTGAGAGATGGCTGTTTGCTCTTAGGAAGAAAAGGGGACAGTTGTGTGTGGGAAGGACTGATGATCATTTTACAGTTCATTTTGACATATGTCAGTCTTACATTTAGCAGTTATTAGCCGATAGATGTTTCGGTAGAAACACGGTTTAGATACAGATCTGTCGTCATGACACATTGCTGTCTTAACTATCATCATGATTTTTTTGACATTTTCTGTGTCTCAGTCTCCAGAGTAATTCGGTTTTTAAAAATAATCTTTATTTGAGATTTTTTCCCCTTTTAATTAAATGCTAGTGTGGTTGATGTTCACCAACCCACACAGAAACGACAAGTCAGTCTCACTTCTCATTCTTTCTTTGTTCCACACTGCTTTTCGCTTCTTTCCCCCCTTGTTCAGTATTTCTTATTTGCATAAATAAAAATGACAATGTCTTTTTTTATTATTCACCAAGGTTCACACTGAAAGAGACATGACAAACTGAACATATTTTCTTTCATGTTTTCTGTAGTGTGTTGGAAATTGGTATTATTGCATATACAGATTTGAACTGGGAGAGAATAGTTGACACTAATATATTGTTTGTGCCAATTCTCAATGGTCTTAATATATTAAACGAATGAAAAAGAAAGAGATTGCTGCTAAGTGTGTACTAACTGACCTTGAATTATTATTCAATAAAATGCAATTACATCCCTAATGGATTACCTAGTTTTAAATTTTTCTAATTAAACTTTTTCTTCCCCCTTTTTTTTCTTCCTCAAGAGGATACTAGGTGAAATGTTCTAGGCAATTGTTCCCGAGATCTCTATTATTTGTTTATTTGTTACTCCAGCAAGTCAAGTGGGTTTTATGGACATCATAAAGAGGTTTAATTTCGCTTCTTAAGTCTGCTTATAAAGTTATAGAATACCCATATCCCCTCTGTATAAGAGTAATAACTGTGCCACTTTTAGCTGCATTAACAACAACCATAATTCAATATCTGCCTTTAGTTTTTCACTGGAGGATAAAGAACTCCTCTTTCTGTTTTGTTTTAGTTCAGGAGTTGCAGCTCAGTTCAGCAGCTTGATATTTTAGATATAACATTTACATTTATATATAAGATATATATGTTATATACAACATATTTAGATATGTTTAGCATGTACAGGATGATGATGATGATGCATAAGTGTGTTATTAATGGAAATAAATAGAAACATTTGCTAATTTAGTTGTATAATGTATGATTATTCAATTTATGAGGCCATACCTCATATTGGGGTTAGATGGCCCCTACCTTACCTGGGGCAATAAGATTTTTAAGAATGTATAAATGACTTTTGATATCATTCTTATTCAAATTCACAGGCATATGAATACATACATTGATTTAAACCACTGACAGACTAAGTGAATAACACTGATCATATCATTACAATGGCACCTGTGGGATATATTAGGTAGCAAGTGAACAGTCAGTTCTTGAATTTGTATCTGAGTATCTGTGGGATGTGCTGGTCTAACTCTGATCCGTGGAGGCCTCACCTCGCATCTTGCAGGACTTAAAGGAGCTGTTGTGAATGTCTTGGTGCCAGAAGCCACAGGACCCGTTCAGTGGTTTGTGCTTCGACGCATCAGTGCAGTTTTGGCAGCATGAGGACGACCTAGTGATATAAGCAGGTGGATTTAATGTTGTGGCTGATCAGTGTATTTAATTGCCCATATTTTAACTTAAGATATGTCATAATAGCAACACTGTGAATTCAAATGGAATGATGGATTGAATTTTACTCTATATTACCCCAGTCCCTTGCATGTAAACTCTGTATTAAATCCCACAGAACTCCAATTCTTTTAGCTTTGAGGTCATCTCTATGTTAGTGTACTCTTAAAAGTTGTATTTTGGCAGTCTAGCAGACACACACTTGACAGTTTTCGAGTATACGAGAAGATAATCGTCTGACCTTGGTCTCGTGCAACGCTGTTAATGTGTACATTTTAAGTTGCTTAATTTGTACACTGGACGTGTCCCCTGTCGATGTGTCACAGTACTAGTACTGTAGAAAAAACTCAGTTTTTGTCAGCATCCATGACTGGAACAGTAGTTTTTATATATATATAACTAAGCAATGTCACTTTTGTAAACTGAGGGAGTTAATAGATAGATAATGACATACAGCAAGAGCTTTAGTGAGCAGTAATGAATGTTATTGATGGTGTGTATCTCAAATCACTGTAATGAGAAAGCTAATTATCTTTACCAATTAAAACTAGTTTCACTGTGCAAATAAACGATGAAGCAGAATGAAAGTGAAATGATGAATAACGCTTTCAGTCAGGCACATTTCAAATCGTGTTTTCTCCAGTCTCACACGTGCACACATTAGCTTCACACGACATGTTACTTCTCTGTGTGCAAGATAGCAGCTTCTTTCGAATGTTGAGGGCTATAATCTTCTAGTAATAACCTCAAATGCCATTGTGTTTGTACTCTACCTTCAGCAAAGGTGCTTGTGTTTCACTTTTGTGTTGCGTGACCGAATGTGTGCATCTCATGCAAGGCGAACTGGTGAAAGTATAGCCCTAGCTAGTTACATAAGGCTCTGCAGTAATGGAATCTCATTACTGCTGCGGTCCCGCGGTGTGTGGGGTGATTCCTGGGACGTGGGCTGGTGTGAACCCCAGATGAGGGAATCCCTGAGTTTGCATCAGCTCCTCTCTCCCATAGGTTTGTCTCCTCTGCTCTCTGCTTACCTCTCCATGGCAGCAGGACGAGGGGTTGCTAGGTGGCCCGCTCTCTCTCTATTCTCTCCCTATTTTTTGCTCTCTCTGTTTCAGACTTGCACGGACTGTTCAGACATCAGCAGGAGAAACCCTGTTACTCTGCCTCAGCTGGGCTCTGAAGAGGCCCACGTAACGCCTCTCTCCCACTGCAGTGAAAAAGCACATTTCTCACTGTATTTTGAACAGCTCATAGTTACCACCTCTCTTTTCTATCTACCCTGTACATTCGTTGGCGTGAATTTATTTTTGAGGTGTGTGTACACGCACAAGCGCAATGTCTCTTTTGACTTTGACTCAAGAGTGTGTTTATTGTTGTTGAGGAACTTTCAAAATGCTGTTTGATCGTCTTCCATCTCAAAGCTGAAATGTTAGAAATTGTAGATAGTGTCAAGAATGTTGGGGGACCTAAAAGTATAAATGGATTGAATGAACCAGTGGTCTCTGGAAGCACATGGCTTCTGCATGACCAGCAGAGGGCCTTGTTTGATCAGGAAAGACATTGAAGTCAGTCTCCATACAGCTCCCAAAACACCAATCCTGTTTGAGAAGTTTGCTGCTCATTTATTTAGCAGCTCCTGTCATTTTCATCCTTCAAAATCTTGAAGGTTGAGGGTCACGAACGAGAACAACCTGCATTATACATTCAAATATTTTCCCTCCCACTACTTTTGATATTTTGGTCTTCATATTTTTTTTTTTTTAGCAAAACAAATTGTTGTTGAGGCACAGTTAAGGAACAATGCATAATTTGTTATATGCAGAACTGAAAGTACAAGACCGCTATAGTTTCTGTACTGTTACACACACCAGCATAAACAGCCTGTTGTTTGTATTTGTGTATAATTTTAGCAATAGTATAGTACAGTATATTGATATACATAAAATGTTTTTACAGTGCTTGCTTTTGAAAACTTAAAATAATTTTTTGGTAAATCCTAACATTGTTATAATGTTCACCAGTGAATGTACAGTATTTGCATACTTGATTTCTACATGATGTTTCTTTGTATTTCACCATCTATAATAACATATTGAGTGACATAACAGCAATGGTGGCTGGAAACAATATTTCAGTTTCACAGAACCAAAACCTAAAGCCTAAATTTACCATAAACTATTCTGCTTCTGCATTGCAAACACTGATACTTGCTTCAGGAATCTAGTTAGACCTTGTAACTTTTTTTTTTTGATTATTAAAAAAACAAGCACTATTCAAGGAAGTTTGTTGCCATGTATCAAGATGTTCATAATTTTGTACTTTATTGCCATTTTTGAATAATTAATAAATTACGACGCATTTTAAAGCACCAGAAATATCAAGCATCACTAAACCGTTGAATGCAAAGGTAGTTTATGGTGTTCACTGGTTTATCAGCCTTTCATGCATGAGTGATTTTTATGTCATTTATCTTTAGTATTGCAATGGACTTTCTCACGGGAAAACAAATCTTCATCCGTGTCCCTGCTGCATGCTGTTTTTGTTTGGATCATGTCTAATGTTGGCGCTTTCTCTCTCTCTCTCTTCCTGTCCTCTAGCTTTCTTTCCTCCACCCCTCCATTCTTGTCCTCCGGTAGCCATAGCAACGTGTGCTGCGATGGTGCAGGGCCTCTGGCAGGTGATACAATGCGGCTAATTACTGGCACTTAGCTCAGCGCTAATTAAAGCGAGCT